GTTTGGAGCAAGGGAGATTGTAGAAGCTCCTTCACTGGAGGTTTTCAAAAGGAGGAGGTTGGGTAGCCATCTGTCTTGGATGGTTTAGACACAACACATCTTGCGTCTTGTCGGGGGGTTAGGCTAGATGACCCTTGCAGTCCCTTCTAACCCTATGGTTCTATGACAAGGAAAATAGACTAGTTTGTTGACTTTTGTTTAGTCACTATACGGGTTTTATCCGTTTGTACAAGGATGCACTGCTACAGGTTCAGCTCTTATGGAAGGCTTTTCATCCGTGGATCTTAAAGCACTTTACAAAGGAGAGCAGTATCATTATTCTCATTTTACAGATGGGGAAACTGAGGCACAAGGTCACCCAACAGGCCAGTAGCAGAATAGAACCCAGGTCTCATAAGTCTCACTCCAGAACTCAATCCACTAGGTCACACTGCTCTAAGTTAACTATTAAAAAACAAACAAACCTTGTTAAGGAAACTTTTAAAATACATGCATTTTTAACTTGACAGTGTTCTTTTCCCTGAATTGCACTGACAGAATTCGATATAGTGTTTTCCCATGGGAGTGAAGCAGACAAGTTGTAGCGGGAGATTAAAAGGAAGATAGTTTGGTTGACTGCAGGCTAAAATCCTTTCACTTTGTGCTTTTGTATTGTGGAAATGCACTTGTGTTCAGGGGGGCTGAAACAAATTTTTATAGTGGGGGTGCTGAGAGCCATTGAACCAAACTGTAAACCCTGTATATGATAGAAACCACTTCATGCTAGGGGGTGCATCAGCTCCTGTGCTTGTGTCAATATGATCTCGTAAATAAAGCTACATTCTCAAGGAAGTGTACCTAGCTATTGAACCAGAAGGGGCTCTAGTATATGGACCAGATCCCCAGGTCATCATCATCAGCGATCTCTCAATTCGAGATTTACAGATGGGTACTGAGAAGACTCAGGAGTCCGATCCTGGAACCACAGATCCACCTGCAGTAGGTACAGGCATTTCCTGGTGGGTCAGCTGCCTGCTGGGAGAAAGTTCTTTCTTTTTTCCTTCCTCCTCTCTCTCGCTCTCTTTTTTCAGCTTGGAGGGCAAGGCACTTCTCCTTGAAGTGCCTGATGAAGGATGTGGCGCTATTGAGGTCAGTTGGTGGCTTGCTCCTCCCATCTTGTGATATTCGCATCAGTTTTCTTGAGATACACTTTCAGCGTGTCTTTGTAGCATGTCCTCTGATCACCACAGGATCTCTGACCAGGGTGAGCTGAGAATAGAGGGCTTGTTTTGGAAGGCGAGAGTCTGGCATCCGCACACAATGTCCACCCCAGCAAATTTGGTGTGTGAGGATCATTGCTTCAATGCTGGTGACACTGGCTTCAGTTATATGGGCCAGATGCCCAGGTGCACTACGTCTGCTTTGTGCCAAGTTGTCACTGTACTAAAATTGCAGAAACTGAGTAAGTGAGCCAGGGAAGATCACCAGTGTGCAGGGTTGATCCTGCAGTGGGGTACATCCAACGCAGGGTTAACATGACACATACCTTCCTTTTTCAGTGCGTCAGGAAAGGGACATAGTTAGAACACATATCTGCTATCCAGTCCTGGCCCAAGTATTCACCCCTTCATGGTTCTTATAGGCCAATGTACGTAAGACCAGCCCTCAGGCTAGTTTAACACAACATATGGTGGTAGCTGCTAAAAATAGCACAAGAATCAGAGCAGCTGAAAGGAGTGCTTTATGCCAGCTGTGCACACTGCCCCTTGACTTCTGCTGCATGTATTTTGGGAGTGTCCACAAATCTGGACCTATGCCTTTATCTTAGATAACTCCATGAGTGATTCTTCATTTCAGACAGACCACATATAATCCAGTTAATTTAATGTTAATATTTAGGGTCAGATCCTCCAGCTGATGTGAACTAGTGTAACTCCATTGAACTGAATAGAGCTATGCTGATTTACAGTAGCTGAGGATCAGGCTCTTAGTATCTTTCTCTCTCCCATTTCATCTCTGCCTAATGTTTCTTTCTAATTCGCATATTTCCCTTCTGTGATCAGCATTGCAGCAACTAGCCTCAAGTCTAACTTTCTCCAGGCAGTGTCAGTGGATCAGGAAGCCACATGCTCCACAGAACAATAAAGCCATCATTCTGCATGATTTACAGTCCCCACAGCTCCCACAGCCCAGGAAATGAGAGTCCCAAATTGACTCGAGCCTAGCTTCCGCAAACAGCAACAGAATACGCTGCTGTCCTGCCTCCAGGCCAGCTGCAGCATCTTTACGACTTCATAACTGTACAAGTCAGCTCACTAGAACAAAGACTAGCCACAAACCAAACTCTGACACGTTTGCATGCAAAAGGGAAGAGCTTCATGCAGCAGCAAATTAACAAACATGAATGTGTTTGCAAAGGGACTAAATCCAGCTCCATATCAGTCAAAGGCAAAACTCCATTGGGTGGCGAAAGAATCACAGAAACTAGGAAACAGATATTCTCATTTAATTTGTAAGTGAAAATAGGCTTTGACCTTGCAGTGTATTTAGTAGAGTGTGCAGGTCTGTGGGATTTAGTTGTTTTTTTTTCTTATTTCAATTTCAGGAACACAAGGCACAAGACAGCAAGTGGCCACATGGGCCAAATTCCTTTTATGTTACTTCATGGAAGTTTTCTTTCAAAATTATTAAAACAGGGTAACAGCTAAGAAAAATGTGATTGCCAAGAACCGATCAAATTTTGATACTCTCCTTAATGTATCTTCATTTACCTGCAAACATATTTCATGGTCATTAATATTCTTCAGCATGAGATCAACCTAAAATTCATAAGCTTTAGGGCAATTAGATGACCAAAGTACAGAATTACTTGATGAGTTAGTACCACACATCTGCCAGTCATGAATTATGGAGATATGAGTTATTAGTGAGGGTGAAGGACCTCAGAATGGGGGCTGCATTGTGGGCTAACTGCTCCAATTTACAGATTTCAAATTCTACATAATGCACCTGCTATTTGTGAAGAATAGCAGTAGTTTCTGCTGCTTAAGATGAGGATAACTATTTTAATCCCAGAAGCAGATATCAGACATTGAAGAAGCCTATTAGATCTTTTCGCCCTTATCTCTGCACCTGACAGTGCACAATTGATCCCTTTGGTATATTTTTAGTGCTATCTCTATTTTTTTAAATTTTCCAGTATTTCTCCTCTCCCCACAAAATGATATCTTTGTCTATAGATAGATACACACAGATATATGCACATTGGATTACTGTGGCTGTGATGTGGTAAAGAGAATCACGAACAGATTTGGTTTAGATGATGTTGCATGATCCTAGGAACTTTAATACTGGTTCTGGGCTTTGAATGTGAAACTCCAGGAAGCAACTTGGTCACAATGAGGAGAAAGCATTTAAAAATCACTAAATGGGCCAATTATCAAAGTAAAACTTCCATAGAGACACCACACAGGCAGGTTATCACCAGAGTTTGGGTTTCAACCCAGATGTAAAACTCCCCACTTCAGGGTGGCTTTACTTAGACACTCACATAACTTAGTGATGTTGCACTGGCCTAAAATAAGGGGGGTGGGGAAGACTTCAGTTTTAGTTCATTTTCACTTTGAGTTTTTGGGGTGTATTCTCAGCCCAAACTCAAAGCAAGATGCCAGACTTGCAAATCCATGCAACTTCAAAAACAAAACAAAAAACAAAAAGCTTTACCTATGGAGAGAAATCACAGAGCTTTGCACAGCTGAATAGATTGGGATAGCAAGTCAGAGATCTTGGTAAGCCTTGAAAAAGATACATGCTAATGGAATAAAAAAGAGGAAGGGTTTAATGAAATATGGTCCTTCCTTTTAGAAATCTGGATTTATTTCTTCATTAAGGAATGCACATGTAACATTGTATATCAGTGTTATTACAAAGATGTGTAGGTGTTATTGTGATCTGGAAAATAACAGATCAAAACAAGAGGTAGTTCTGATGGATTTTTATGTACAGCAGAAAATGAAACAAATTAAAATTAATACGTGAGGATGAAAGAAGGAAGGTAAAAGCAGGGAAATACACGAGGCCTAATTCTGATCTTACTTTTGCCATTTTTACATTTGTAGCATCAACAACTTCAGTGGAGTTTTGCCTTATTGTCTTACTGCTATTACAGTACAATCTCAAGTTTCAGAGTAGCAGTCATGTTAGTTTATACCCGTAAAAAGAACAGGAGTACTTGTGGTACCTTAGAGACGAACAAATTTATTAGAGCATAAGCTTTCGTGAACTACAGCTCACTTCATCGGATGCATACAGACTCCAACGAGAGACAATCTCAGTTACTCAAATGTCACGAGAGATACTGAGGGCCCAATTCTCCCACCCTTACCCATGCTGAGTAGTAATTTTTTACATGAATTATCCATCCCATTGATTTCAATAAGGTGACTCACTGTGCGGTACTGCCCAATGTAAGATTGGCAGTATCAGGCCCTAATAAGTTTTGATATCGGAGGGAAATTTCCACGCAATTAACAGATATGAGGAGAACATGACCCTGTTTCGGATAATGGCAGTTTCAGATAACTGGAGTTTGGATTGTGCAGATTCTACTGTAATAGCAAATACTCATTTTTTTAAATAAGAAAATAAGAAAAAAGTATACATGTTGGGTTTTGATTATTTCGAGATGTGTGAAACTCACTGAAATAAAGGTGTACATCAAGAAGTTATAAGATTCTTCATAGTATTTTAACACATTCAGGAAACTTTATGATATTTTAGCACATTCTGAACTAAAAATATCTATTAAAAATCATGACACTGAATCTCCAAGAGCTATTCGTGGCTACTGGGTGACTAAACTAAGAAATAGTGTCTAAACTAGACAACGTGCAAAAAAATTGTATTTAACTATGAATCAGTTTGACGCTCAATTAACAGACTTGCTGACTACTAACAATTAATCAGGATAGGATGTTATTGTTCTCCCAACTTTGTAAAAGATTAAAACACAGGGCACTCACCACTGGAGATGGAGAAAGTGCGATGTTGCCTATTGATGCTTTCAATTCATCTACAGTTGCTGCACTTTTAAGAATGTCTTTAGCCTGCAAAGGCTTAATCTTAATGTTAAATTTCTTGTGTGACTCTTCTTCTTCTTCTGATTCGCTTGAGGAATAAAAGTGCTTTCCTTTGGTAGGTAGATCACAGTTAAAGAATGTTTTGTTCTGCTAAGAGGTAGGCTCTTTATACATAGTGGAGGCAAAATACCACCTCCCTCCCCATCCTTTCAAACTCCTAAAGTCAAGTTTTCAAAAAGTGCCTCAGGCCCATGTTCTAAAGTGACATAGGTGCTTAGAAGCCTAAATCCCTCTGATTTTCCAGTAAGATTTAGGTTCCTAAGTCACTTTGGAAAATGGGATTTAGGTGTTTTTGAAAATTTTACCCCAACTGTACATCTGCAAAAATGGGTAACAGAGGTCACACATTTTTGCCAATCCTGTCACTACTATTCCATTTTGTCATATTTGTATATAACAGATACATAATATACATATATACACACACACACACACACACACACACAATAGCATGGATGTAAATTGCTGACTGCTCATAAAAGTAGGTAAAACTGCACTGTGGGATAGCATTAATTTAGGAGTACTCTTTTTCCACCACTCAGCACTGTACCAGTTTACACTCTATACACGAATACGTAACCAGGAAGTTTCAGTGGCAGCAGAAGAGGAAGTTATGAGCCTATTTTCCCACGGTCTACTTACTAAAGGCAGCTCACTGCACAGGCCAGATTCTTGTCTGCAGCGTGGCTGGTTTGTATCGCACCATTGACACAGACGACCTATAAAGTTAGCAAAGCCAGTAAGGGAGATCAACCCAATGCAAAGGGTGTAGTAGCACCAAATCTTACTCCACTAACTTTCCCTGCAACAGGGATAGAGGGTGTGGTTGGAGGAAAGGGGACATACCCACAATATCCCTTCATTGTGCCAATCCTCAGCTGTGTGTTACATCCTGGGATAAGAGAGAGTTCTTCAGTCTGTTCAAACAAAATGCAGAGATCCTGACCAGCAGGAGGAGGATAAAGGGAGAGCACCTGTGAGCTTTAAGCCTCCTTCATATGCACACCTCATACTTGTGCTCTGAGAGTCACAGTGGAGGAGATGGGCCAGTGTGTATATATTGTTCTACATTTTGAGAATATCTAAAATGTTATGGCTCCTCTGTACCAAGTAAATAAAATTTATAGCTATCTTAAGTGTTTTCCATAGTGCCTATCACACCCTAGACCAGAGGTGGGCAAACTACGGCCCGCAGGACCACCCTGCCCAGCCCCTGAGCACCCATCCAGGGAAGCTAGCTCCCAGCCCCTCCCCTGCAGGCACACCACCGCACGTGCCCGCCCACCTCCCAGGCTTTCTAATAAGCCTGTCCTGCCGCTGGCATGGTAAGGGGGCAGGGGGAAGGGAGGTTGGATAAGGGGCAGGAGGACCCAGGGGGCAGTCAGGAGACAGGGGGCGGTTGGATGGGGGGAGGTTTGGAGTGGGGCAGTCAGGAGACAGGGAGCAGGGGGGATTGGATAGAGGGTGAGGTCCTGGCGGGTCAGAGGGTGGGGTTCTGGGGGAGGGCAGTTAGGGATGGGGGTCCCAGGAGGGGGCGGTCAGGGGACAAAGAGTGGGGGGCGGGTTGGATGGGTCAGGAGTCCCGGGGGGGGGCTGTCAGGGGGTGGGGGTGTGGATAGGGGTTGGGGCGGTCAGGGGACAAGGAGCAGGGGGATTGGATGGGTCAGAGGTTCTGAGGCGGGCAGTCAGGGGGCAGGAAGTGGGAGGGGTCTGATGGGGTCGGGGCCAGGCTGTTTGTGACGGCACAGCCTTCCCTCCCCGGCTCTCCATACCATTTCGCAACCTCGATGTGGCCCTCAGGCCAAAAAGTTTGCCCACCCCTGCCCTAGACAAATGTATTTTAAATAAAATATATATCTACACTTTCAAAGCCTCTTACACATCACTGTATATGGATGGTGATTTTCAAAAGGCAAATTCATTTCTGCTTTTACAAAAACAAGATATCTCCTCTTGCTCCTGCTTACATTCATTTAAATGGATGAAAGGAACAGTGTCAACAATTACACAGCGATTAGATCAGCATAAACAAGCTTGAGATTAAATACAATACTTTGCACATTTCTATATTAACTTCACAACATGGTTTATAAACACTCAGTGTCACTAGTTCGTTGAGAAGTAAAATAGTAGCACCCCCATTTTATAGATGGAGAAACTAAAGAACAGTTAGGTGACTTGCCCAAGTGAGTCTATGGCAGTGCTGAAAACAGGATTGAGAATCTAGAGATCTGGGTTCTGACCATTAGATGAGGATTCCTACTTTTCAAGACTCATAAATGTAACATTTGTTCAGCTCCTCTAGTTTTAATTCTCTCTTACAAGGCCAAAGGCGTTCTGCAGAGAGATGGAAACTGCTTCTTTCCTCCAGTGAATGAACACACTGCTTCTGCAACCCTTCTAGTTTCTGCCAACCCAGAGAAAAGGGCTAGAAATCTGCTTTGATTCACTGCAAGCATTATAATCACATCTGTTTTAGTGGCATGCACTGAACGTAATTATTTCTCAGTGTGCTTCCTATCCACTTACTCCTTTCTGTTAATTTCTTATGAATAAAACAAGGCAGTTCTGTATCAGGTGAATCTCCACTGGGCTTCACTTTTAGCTGAGGAATAATAGTGTACAGAAAAATAAGGGAAAAATTTCAGTGACCACTCCATGAACCCATGATCATATTACAGTTTGCAAACTGAGATGTAAGGCTAACAATAAAGGATATAGCCTGGTTCTTCTGGTCTGATGCTGTATCCCTCTTCATCAAGTTCAGGTGAATTCTGGGTGGGGCATAAACAAAGCAAAGTAATTAAGTTCTTGTTGAACATTTCACTGAAGAGCAACTTAAGCGATTTCTTCTATCAGGAGGATATGTCAAAGGAAACGCTGGACTGATTAAATAGTGAGCTTTACCCAAAATTAGAAAAAAGTAGAGCAAGCTGAAGAGAAGCCTTTGTTTATAGGAGGCTTAACATGGCTGCAGCTGCACTGGTTAATATCTATAAACTACCCTACCATGACAAGGTAAGTGATATTGTTGTTAACTCTGGCAGTGTCAATCAAGTCCACTGCACAGAGCTGACCTGGCAAGTGTAAGGGTTTGGAGAGAAAAGAAAGGCAGGATTGTAGGAATTGCACAGGATTTTAACAGTCTCTGCTGGGTTGCTGCAGAAACCACTGCAACTATGGTCCACAGAATTAGGCAGGTAAAAAGTGCTGGGAAGAGGGATGGAAACAATGGAAGGCAGGCACCAAAAATAAGAAGCCATGTAGTACGGAAACACAATCATTCTAGGGCCCATACGCTCCAGAAGAGCATTCGACCCTGCAGGCCTTTGAGCCTGTGGAACAGGCTATAGAATCAGATCCATAGGCAGTTAAGGCAAAAGTCATCAGTGCTGCATTTAACATAGTTTTGAACCATTAGCTTCTTGGCAGGTAAATGCTCTCAATGTTCAACTGAAATTTTTTTTTCCAATTAACTCTGACATATTCCATATTGATGGTATAATCAGTCTCAAATAGACCTTTCCTTATTACTCAGGGTAATTGGTACTTAATGGGTAATTTGAGCTACCCAGTATCTAGATAATTTTACACAATCTAATTAACATGCGGATATAAAATATATTTCAGAGTAAGGTTAGGTTTCAACTACACATTTGCAGGGTGATAAAATAGCTGAATTCATTTTTTTTCTCCACAGTGATGTCGTTCTTACAATTGCCAATTCTGATTCAACAGTAAGATTTACTCCATCACTTAAATAGGCACACAGCATGAAAAAATGGATTAGTTCCCTCATATCAATTTTTGTGGTTTTACAATTCCATTTTTCTATTTTTATTGCAGGTTTTTCTCTCACCCCTGTTGCTGCACGATACACAAACAGGGAAACGACCTATAGTTAAATTGACTGCACATGAAGCACTGTCAAAGTCACGTCAACAAACAAAAAACTGGAGATAATATTGTTTTCATTAATCACTGCCGGTTTCCAGTAATCTTAGGTGTAACTCGTAACAACAGGCAAAAAATTTCTGAGGGAAGTGTGCCTTGCAACATGACATCCCTCGCACCCTCAGCTTGCTCTAGGAACAGTCGTTTCCACATAACAAAGTATGTGGAAAGGAAAACTGAGTCTTTGCCTGAAATACATGGTAACATTTGAACCAGGCTGGAGTTGTGAATACTCCAGGATGTGATCTTCATTCTGAAGTGGAGAGAGTGAAATGAAGATGAGGATTCTGTATATGAAGCAAACACACTTGGATCAGTGAAAACAATCAAGTCTACCAGACTGACATAATCCTGCAGCATATGAAGGGTTAGGAATTTCCCATCACATAGCACTGACATCTATTAAAAACGGAGGGAGGGGATCATCCAGATACTTACGTATCTTTCCCAGTCAATCTCTGCATAAAATCCATTTGGAGCTCCATTACTTTTCTTCTGTAATACATTTGAGAACAAATTTACAAATTTTAAATTGAAGAGCTAAGAATCACACAATGTCTATCTGGAGCAAACTACTGAAATCTGTCACAGAATGGCCAGAATAGAAACCCTCTAAAGAAACTGGTCAGTACGGTCAGATGATTGTGATGTCCCTAAGCAGCTATTTCATACAAACAATACAAATTTTAAAATCATGTAAGAGACTGATTTTTGGTTATAAATAGGGCAATTCAAAATCCATAGCCCACCAAATAAATGATACTTTGCATTTCTGTAGAATCTTCCACATCCCTATTTCAGTGCACTTTATAAACAACCATTCATTGAAATCCCCACCACCCTGTGAGGAAGGGAAGCAAAATTATGAATTCATTGTGCTGTGATGAGACACTTCAGTACATTTATAGTGCTATAGGTTCATCACCACCAAGTATTGGACAGATTTCCACAACACCTTCACTTATTGAGTACACATAGCTTTCTTCAGGTTGTAATGGAGGTAGCTGTGGGGTTACATATATGTATGTGTACATGCAGAAAGCCTGGTCATAAGTAGTGTTTTATACAATGAGCCGCCTTGCTTAGTCATCATCCACTGCTTTAGTCTTTTCTGGAAAAAGAAATCATGATACGCTAACAGGTGTTATCGGTTTCTGCAGAAAGCAATGTTGCTTTCTTATAGGCAGTAAACTGTATTCATTGCAGAAATGGTGCCAAATGGTGCAGCAAAAGTGACTAATTGTCCACCTGAGGTGTGTGCTGAAAGTCTAAAGAGGCTCAGATTGATCTAGGGTCAAACTCTGCTATTATTTACCACACACACCCCCACAAACCCCACCCGGGGTGAAAATGGCTCTCTTGTCAATATCCGTTAATTAGCAAAAGCAAAAACCAATAGCTGGGCAGAGTTCTGTCCTTAGCTTGAGAACTTGTACTCTCAATGTAAATTTTAATTGCGAAGTTATAAAACGTTTACCCAAAGAAGTTTATAAAAGAAACACTAATGCACCTTTCCACAGAGGGGCACAGATGAAGACCACTATAATGTTCAGACAGGAATTGCACTGCATTACTGATGTCACTATGGTTAGGTTCATCTTAAAGCAAAGTCTGTTCACCACACAATAAAACGTGTCAATGAAGTCTCTACAATTAAAATGTACTATATGTGCAGCAATCTCTTTTCAAATCAACAAGCTGTTTACCAGTCTGAGAGACGTCAAACTAACCACACTTATGCATGCTAAACATGTCAGGCTACTCTTAAGGCACTAAATAGGTTTAAACAATCCTCTAATTTATATACTTAATATAGGCCCAGTTTTCAAACTCAGGCAACTAAATTAGACAGCACCCAGAATGGAACTGGGTTAACAGTAGCACCAGGGCACTCAAATACCCAAATTTAAGGGCCCAATCCAACCTCCACTCAAATAGTGGAAAGACTCCCATTGATTTTAGTTGGAGCTGGATCAGGCCACAAATCACCTAGAGGCTTGTCTACATGAACATTTAGTTCACAGCAAGCTGCTGTGTGTGACGCTCCCCTGCACTAGCCTCCTGCAAACCAGCTGAGGCACATTAACAGTTCTCTAATGCCTTTTGCACTAACCCCCTTTGAAACAGGACTAATCAAAGCACATCAACAAACTATTAATGTGTCCAGAGGGTCAATGCAGATAGTTAGTCCATGGCAGGCCGGCAGGGCGGGGGTGGGGGGGGTAGAGTCACACCCCAACTTGGTGCAAACTGCTCATGTAGACAAGCCCTAAGTCCTTCTGTTTTTATACCATGCTCATCGCTATAGTATCAAAGCACCTAAATTCAGAACTGAGTACCTTATTTTAGAGGCCAAATACAAACTGAGCTTTGAATGTGCTCTGCATAGTTGTTAATCTTAACATTTTTAGTAGTAAATTTGTCTTTATAGCTAACATATCAGAATTCTCTCACTATATAGGAGTCTGAAAGGTATTTTTCCTAATTTCTTCAACAATTTTTAAAACATGTTTTACTCACTGTTTTTATAACCCTTTGGAAGCTTTAAACTGAAATCGGTTTCCTTACCGAAATTTTTTTTCCTCCTTCACGTGCACACTCTGGTTTGTTATTGAAGGGTGGCTCATGAGGATGAGGACTGGGAAGCTGGAATGGATTTTGGTTTTGTAGAAAAAGTGTTAAAGTATTGGGAGGGTTTTAAACATACAAAGAATGACATGGCGTTAGTAAACATACTATACAGTGTAAAAAAGAGGGTTGGCCAAATTTGGTTCCTTTAAATGTAAAGGAAACATTGGGACTCATACCAGGGCTCTATTCACCAGACAATAGGGTTGGCGGATATTGGGCTACAGAGGCTTCATGGTATTTCGTATCTCAAGGACGCATCAGATCGTATTCCTGGTTCAGCAAGCACTTAAAGGGCCTGATTCCACAGGATTAGCCCCTGAATTTGTAAAATGAGCAGGAAGAACCAGGTAGCGTATCAGGAGCGCTCACACTTTTCATAATGTGTACTCCTTCTTCATAAACATCCCTTTTTGACTGTCTCATGGACACCTCTGCTCTACTTGATCCACAGACTACCTTCTTTCCCATTCACAACCATATCACTCCTGTGGCAACTACAGCAGTTGCTTGCATGGAAAGGTCATATTAGGAAGGGATTTACTACACTATGTCTGTCTATTAATGCATGTTAGCAGCTGGAAATGGGGAAGGGGATGTCAGCACCATCTGGCCACCCAACTGTTCACGGACCACAACTCGAGAACTTCTGCTCTATAAAAAAGGATCAGCACATGCCAACAACTGATAGTCAGAATGGTCGGGATTCTGTAGTTTGGGATTTCAAGACCGTACCATGAAGACAGCTACTGTAGGAGGTTACACCAAGGGTTAGATTCACAACAGGATTTACGTGAATAACTGTCACTTTAGGTGCCTAAGTTCCAGCATCAGGTCTCACTTGGATTCACAATATGCCCACTCAGCTTCCGTCAAACCCTGTAGCCTCCTAAACTTGCTTGGTGTTTAAGTTTTCGCCGTAAAAATTCCCAAGGTGCTAGGGTTACCACGTCTCTGGTTTTTGACTGGAACACCTGGTCAAAAAGAGACCCTGGTGGCTCTGGTCAGCACCACTGACCGGGCCATTAAAAGTCCAGTTGGTGGCACAGGCAGGCTTCCTACCCAGATCTGCGCAGCCCTGCGCAGACATGCCGGCCGCTTCCCAGGAGCCGCCTGAGGTAAACGCCGCCTGGAGCCCACACCCCCAGCCCCCTGCCCCAGCCCTGAGCCCCCTGCCACACTGCCTGCACCCCCAGCCGCAACCCAAATCCCACATCCCACACACACACTCCAAATCCCTCTGCCCCAGTCCAGAGCTCCCTTCTACACCCCCAAGCACCTCATCCCCAGCTCCACCCTGGAGCCTGCACCTGCAGCCCACACCCCAATCCCCTGCCCCAGCCCAGTGAAAATGAGCGAGTGGACGAGGGTGGGGGAGAGCAAGCGACAGAGGGAAAGGGGACAGAGTGAGTGGGGGAGGGCTGCGGGGCAGGGGCGGAGCCTCAGGGTAGGGGGTGGGGTTTTCTGCGATTAGAAAGTTGGCGGCCCTACTAGGTGCCTATGTTTCTGCCTCTGCACATGTACTCTCTCTAGGTCCCAATGTGATGCACAAACCAGGAGAAGATAGGTGTTCCTTTGCCTAACTCACTTGCAGGACCCAATCCACTAGGAGTGTTCAGAGGCTGCTTATCAGAGAGCTCATGCAAAATGGCTGGGGGCAGGGAAAGAGGGAGAAGAAGGACCGTGCTTATAAGTTTTAGCCCAATCATTAGTTTATAAACTTGCAGAGGCAGATTAGGGGTTTGTGGGGCCCTGGGCCACAGCAAGTGGGGAGCCCCTCCTCACCCCTTTTGCCTGCAGTCCCCCCAGCTGCCCCCCAGCACTCCTGCCAGGGAAATGGGATCAGGGTATGGGGGTTTGCCCTGCCCCGCCCCCAGCCCAACACTCCTTCTGGGGAGTGGGGTCGCAGGCTTCCCCTGCTCCCTTGCAGGAGCGCTGGCTAGGCGGAGCAGGACGGGGCGTGGGGTTGCTCATTTTGGGGGGGAACCCTGGGCACAGGCCCTCCTGGTCCTGCAGCTAATCCGCCACTGCAAACCTGGGGTGTGTGAGATCACTGGTTCAAGTCTCCCTTCCACCTGAGGGGGAGAACGGATTTGAACAGGGATCTGCCACCTCTCAGGTGAGTGTCCTGTGGATTATGTGGGGCTCCCTCAGTCTCTTACGTTGAAGCCATTCCACTGTGGATAAATAAGTAAAGAGTCATTGGACTGGGGGACTTGATCCAGGGTGAGGGCTCTAATCAGGAGGCTACAGAGTCATTTTCATGCTTGCTCTCTCAATCTCTCTCTAGCTCAATGACTTGTTATTACTGACAATAAAACTGCTAACAGTTTGCTATTGAAGAGTGCATGTAGTACTAGATCTAACAACAAAATTTGCTACTTCTGCTACTCTTTAGCATCAATAACAAAAAAAAGCCATGATGTGGTCTGACAAGCTACCCACAACTTTGGCACCCAATCCTGCTATCACTGAAATCAACAGTAGTTTTGTCATTGGTTTCAGAAGGTCTTTAATCTGTTAGGTAACTCTTCATTCTTAGACTCCGTATACAGGGGGTATCCACCTTACACTTTTTTCTTGCTTCAAGAAGCGCAGTGTGGTTATGTCTGTATACGTGACACAAAGATTAACAGAATTCCCCCACATATCGTGATCTTTGGGTAAGTATGTCACATTTACAGGAGGCCTAAGAAATTGCAGATGGAGAAAAGGAAAGTAGCACTGCATTTGAAACATGAGGAGTACTGCACACAGAGAAGAGATAAGGCAAATACCTGACTGCAGCTGACATAGAAAAAACAGAAGAAACAGAGTCTGAGAGTAGCAGAACAGAAAGAAGAGGACAGGAGGAAGAGTCCAAGACCAGACAGGAAAGGAACAGAAGAGGAGAAGTAGAGGTTGAAGACCAGGGAAGACAGATTTGTACATTCCACAGTTTCATGTAATCTGCAAATCTATATTTTTCTTTTCTTTCTGATGAATAGAGCCTTGATTAAAGTGTTACCCAAAGTTTAGTATTCTGAACTTCATTTCTTGACATTTCTTAAGAATTAACGACAAAGGGCTCTATGAGTGCAGGGTTATCACGAAGCTAAGGATCTTGGGTCAGATGACAAAGACTTGTGCCTCTTAAAGCAGTAATTAAGCATTCGAATTTTTGTGTGATTTTACGGGAGACACATATAATGTTTTTAATGACTGGTTTAGTTTCCACTCCAGAGCTCTGAGTATGATGCAGAGTAACTACAAACAGTTTCCCAGCTGCACCAGTTTTCCTTCTGAATACGTTCCTGATTTTTATTTGAGGCATGAGCTTTTTAAATCTGAGTACCAAATCTCTTTAAAAAACAAATTACAGTAAAATCAATGTCTGAACCCAACATACTTCTTTGCAAACTTGAAATTTAGGAATCAAGACCCCTCTAAAGTCCAATTTTAGTAGGGACATTCATTCCTAAAACCATAAGTTAAAGCAGCCATAATTTAAAAGTAACCACTCTCCTATTTTCAATTTAATATAGAAAATAAAAATTGCACAGAAAATAGTCAAACTTGTCACATTTCTCTTCATAACCTTTCAGATTACTAATCCATTGTGCAGAAAATGCTGTACAACATTTTCCCATAAAAAGTAAACATTCATAATAAAAAGGCAGCTTTCAAATTCTTGATTTTAGTTAACATTACCTTTGAACTATTTTTATACAGGATTTATAAAGTGGCTGTATGTACAACAGAGATGATTTTGGCACTGCAACTATATTGACTGCTTATTTTTGACAAATAAATAATCTTCCCTGAATTCCTCTGATTTAAACAAACAGCTCTCTCATAAAGAGAATTTTTAATGTATTTACTACATTAAATGGAAATAGAGAGAAAGTGTAAGACCTTCCTTATGCTGATTTGCAGAGGACAATGCTTTTCGACAGACACAGACTGAATGCCATTAAGAATAATTTTATAAGAAGAGTTTAGTACTTACAATTCCATCCCTGTCTGGTGATCCTCTACAACAAAGATAAAATACATATTAGTCAAAAAACAGTCTAATTCAGCCTTTTCTGTTTAACCTTTGTAAACAATTTTCTCAGCTAATTCACACGAGCTGTGGTTTTTATGGTCAGCTACTGTCACCCACCTTCCAATTGCTGATAAGAACCACAGGAATGCTGTGGTGGTAACATTTTCAAAGGTCTTAATATCTCTTTCATGGGATTTGTACACCGTACCCTTCTGATGGAGAAATGTGGACTTCTGTTTTCAGTGTTTGTTCTTTACATTCACATTCTGATATTCATTTCTCCCAAAACAATCTCAAACCTTACGTGAGACGTGTTGTATGTTCTTTTAGAAGACACAGTAGAAATAGAAAATACATTGACAATTTAGGGCCCAATCCTGCAAATACTTTCTACTGGACAGAGTCCTTTCTTCTGAGGAATAGTAGTAGCAGCTGCACTGAAGTCAGCAGGACTAGTTACCATATAAAGGACTATGCTTAAGAGTGTTTGCAGAACTGGGCCTTAAGCTGTAGCAAGCATGGAACAGCTAGAGATATGGCAGTCATGTTTATTTAGCATTATATAAATATGATAAAGTGTTGAGTGAAATGATAAGTAATTATTAAATCCAGCCCCCACTCTTCCCTCTCCCACGCCCTCCACATCCTTCCGTCTCATCTAGTGCTACAGATGTTCCAAAGACTGATGGTCAAGACTTATGACATTGTACAAACTCTACAGGCAGCTACTGCCAACTCAAGTATAATTAAACACACCAATGTCCTTCATTGAACCACTCTATAATGATTGTGTATTTGCCTTTTCTTAGTCTACGATTTAATATTTAAATCTTACTCATTACATGAGGTTCCCAAAATATTTTTCTAAAGCAGCAGATGTAATATAAGATTCCATATTCCACACATGTTCCTTAAGCTTAGTGATTTTGGTTTTGGGTAGGGAATATTTAGACTCCCTAGAACCACATGTTTGAATCCCGGCAGAGATGGCTCAATTCTTCCTCCTTCCGAGGTATTAGTGGACTGCATATTGTGTGCTTGTGCCCAGGTTACCAAGCAATCCAGATCTGTCTGTATCAGTGACCTGTCCTCTTCATTATTTACCACTCCAACTTCTGTGTCAACTGCAAACTTTATCAGTCATGACTTTAGGTTTTCTTCCATGTCGTTGATAAAAATGTTAAATACTGTAGGACCAAGAACCAATCCCTGAAGGACTTCACTAGAAACACACACATTTGATGATGATTCCCCACTTACAATTAAAACAAATTTGACTTTCAAATTAGCTCAGGATGATTAACACTATGCATATCAATATTAGACAAGTAGCTTATTTTATCAACTAAGTAAGTAACTTTAGAGTTTTTTCCTGGTCTCAGAATTCCCTCTAATTCAATTTCCCTTCACTCATTCAAGCAAATGTTCCCATCTGCTGTAGGTTTTTCATCTGCTCTCTTGATCTGGGCTGGTTTCCAAAGATCTCTGACCTGATGGCCTCAAAGGCACCCCATTGGATTCCTGGGTCTGCGACCATCTCCTTTGCATTCTCTGCTTTAGCTTAAAACTCTTGAATGTGGAGGCTTTGCAAATTCCTCTGAATTACATCTGTGCTATTTCAGAACTCCTCTTCTCCAGGAATTTACTTGTCCCATTCATATTAATTCTGGACCTCTATGTAAGCTCACTGTGCATCAGTACCTTTGCTGGATGCTGAGACAGATATGGCAATTTTCTGCAGTATCCTTGAAAACTCTTATTGTATAAAACAAATTTAATTGTGGGTCAGGATTGTATGTAGTCTCTCTAGGGGGTAGATGAGATCAATGACAAAACTGAGAGTTCAAAAGACTATATTGAAAATGTGCCAGACAAGTATAGACTTTTGGGACAATAAGTGTTAAGTGGATTTCCTGGGGAATCCCTAGGGAGAGGTTAATGAAAATTACCTAACTATGGGTTATGCGAAAACCCAGCCTTCTGAAGCTATGCTCTGAGGAGAGGCTCTTTGTCTGCTGATAATCCGATAAACCTAATCTGTATAAAGAAATGGTTGCTCTTCCCAGCCTTTGTTCTGATACGAACAAAGTATCAAGATACAAACTTGTAGTTATGGGGAAAAATCCAGTGGTGGTTTTTGGAGGACTGAAAACTACGAGAGGTTGGGGTGACTTCTGCTAAGCTTTTTAGCAGGCATGTAGGTTCTTTTATTGTTTTAATATATTTTCTCTGTAATGTTTTTACCTTAAAAATAAATGTGCTTGCTTAGAAGGAGCTGTGTGGCAACTTACAACTGCAGGCAATAGATCAGTCTAGCCTTCAGAGAAAGCAAAGCACAGGCACCGTTCTGTTTAGTGCAGTCCAGGGAGCTGTGTAGTCTTAAAACCTCTGGTGAGGAGGGAGTGAGGCCTGGGTCCGCCCCCAAGAGAGGTGATGGCTGGGGGCTGGAAATCTGTAAGTAGGTGCCATTCAGGGACCACGAAGGGGGAAAACACAAATGCAATTATCCTGAAACTGTGACAGCTGCATCATGACTGATTGCTGACATGCCCATAGGTGTTCTTGGGATGTGGCTATGGTAAGAGAATCAGTGCTGTTGCTGCAGCTTCTTCCAATGGACAACTCCTGTATGTTCTTCCAAATTACATCTCTTCCTGCCTAATGTAGCCAATTATTTTATTTTATTATTTATTTGTGTGATGTTATGATTAACATGTTATATTACATATATTTATTGTATGTTAATTAGAGTTAATTTGAAGGATTATAAAAGTATACAATGGTTCCTCTAAATACTGATCAAAGTATCAGACATGAGTAAGACAAGCTGAAATGCAAGAACCTGTAGGTTGAGGCCTGCAAGACTTTAGCTTAGCTATTTTGGGCCTTGGAGACAAGAAATGATGACACAAGTGACCAGAAAATAACCCGATGCTCTAGGATTATGAGAAAAGAGGTACCAACTGGTAAGATTGCAAAAAATTACCCAGAAGATTAATATTAGATCATAAAAATACTGTAAAGGTGCATCTGTCTCCAACATGTGTCTTAACCACAGAATACAGGTTGTGTGTCAATGCTAATGAGAATAAAGGGAATTTACACAGCCTATAAAAATTGGGGTCCCTTAAGATTCCAGGGACACAAACCAATAAGAGAAAAGAGGGTTGGTGCTTTTTTGGACATGCGCAGAATGTAGGTATAGACAGAATCACACTATAAAAAGGGGATGCCCAGGACAGGGAGCTCAGTTTTCCTATGAGAGACTCCAGCAGGAACCATCCCTCTACTCATGATCAAGCCATGAGAAACCCATCAGACCCTAACACTGTTGTTAAGGATGCGAGTATAAACATATTTGTAAATTGGGCATAGGTCTGTATAGAATTTCTGTATACTTAGCTGATCATAACTTTAATGAAACTTATAAAACAGTCTAGACCTTGTACTTGTGAATGTATGTGTGGTCACTACTTTTGGTCTTTATGTGTTCCTAGAGAGACTAACTCTGGAGCAAGGAGCACTCTGTTAAACTTGAAACTGTAGCCGCCAGAGCCGAACCCACAGTGGTGTAATACAACATTACAAAATTCACTTTCAATAAAATAATAGGCGACACCAACGGCAGCATTCAATGTTAATACAGCCAATAGATTCCTGTCTCCCTTCTGCCCTCAGCTTAAAATATTGCAATCTGTTCAGTTTCCTCTCCACACCTCTACTTTATTGAGTTTGTTCTTTTTTTATGGCTTCATTCCCTTTTGGAAACTTTGGAGTTGATTGACATCTCCACTTTCCTCCTTATTTCAGCATATGCAGCCACCGTCAAGCCACCTGCTCTTTGTCCCCGGTGCACTGTTACATGTCCTCATGCAGACTGAACTAATTATCAGTTCGCAATCCACACTTAAATTTAAGAAATGTTAACAAGATTCTTTTATAATAAATCCAGCTATAAATATAAATTTCATTCTATTAATCCTTGATTATAATTACAGAGAAAACTAGCACGATAAAGCAAATTGGATTACTAAAGCACTGCTGAACTTAATTAATACTAAAGTTGCCTATTTTGAGTTGGCATCTTCATCCAAGTTTTCACTGACTTTGCTTGAGTTGTTCAAACCCAAAGCCCATGGCTGATTCTGTATGTTTTCAAAGTAGTTTCAGACATAATTAGACTCTTCAGAGCCTCTTCAGACGGAGAGACTCAACCTGTTAGTTAATGTCTGTAAGGAATACTTGATCTCACTACTGACTCTGTCATTGTTGTTTTTTATTCAGGAGCTCAGACACTATGGTGATGGGCACTAATGTAAGACCCTAGCTAGATAGATTGAGTTTGGGTCTTCAAATATGACAGTCCTTAATAGTGAGTATATGACTAAGTACAGAAGGCCTGTTACTGACTCTATAAATAGAGAGCCCTTCTCCTTGCCTTAAAATTTCTGTCAAACTGTTATGTTTTTCTGTAACAGCTACCAGTGCACAAGTAGAAGTAGAGAATGTACCATAGTGTCTAGAACTGCATGAGTGTGACAGGCTGGACTAGGCCCAAAGGCCCCTTGCTGGAGGCCTCAGGGTTCTGTCACACCCATCCCAGGAAAGGAGCAGTGGAGAGGTCCTCCAAGCAGGCTAGAGTGGCTGCAGAGGAAGCAGCCAATCAGGGCCCAGGAAGGCCATATAAAAGGAGCTGCAAAACAGAGCAGCAGTTAGTTGCTGCATGGAGCAGGAGAAGAATGGACTGCAGGCCTGGCTGCCTGGAACAGCAGCAGGACTATGGACAACTAACGCTGCTGGCAGGGACCGGGGGACCAAGAGGCTCCTGGCTGGTTGCTAGGGATTGAGTAAGGACTAAGCCTGGGAAGGGCTACAGAAAGATAGTGTCTCCAGGAAGCCCTGGGGATACAGCCCCATATCAGGGGTGGACTACTTAAAGACTAAAGCCCAAGGAGGGCTAGAGAGAGAAACCACCACAGGGGTACT